AATAGCAGTAAAAAAAGAAGAAGTAAATAATCCCTGCCTGAAGACTCAAGGATTGAAAAATTTGCCTTGGACCCAAAAGGAAATACTAAGGAAAAATTGAGGTAATTGCTCATGACAGCTTCAGGACAGGGGAGAAAAACAAATGTAATATTCTATACTATTTGGGATTTCTACCCCTCAAGGAGGCCAAATAACAGGAATCATATAGCCAAGTTATTAAAATACACAGAAATCTGATGGAAAAGGATTTTTCTATTATAGAAAACTCTTTGCTAATAAGTAAATAAAATATGTGAACAGCATCAACAGTAACACTTTCCTTAGTAATAACTACTTAAAATGGTGTCTAAAAACACTCACTTGCCTACTTACTTGGATACCTATTAGAACCTAATAGGTACTCAATAAATATTTTAAATGAATTTATTCTAAAGTCTGTAAAAACAGAATTTCCAAAATTTTGAATAACAGAGACAATACCATTCAGTAATATGTAGCCAATGCTTATATGACAGGCACGGAGGAAAGATGAAAAAAAGGTTCCTCATGCTACTGGCAAAGGGAGCCCGGGTTAGGAACAAACTTAGCTCCTTACCCAAGCCCACGGATAAAACATCAGGTCTACTAGAAGATGGCCCCTCTCTCTCTGAGTTTTCCAGTGGATAAGGAACCTGATAACACTGGAGTATCTGTCTTAGCAAGTTTTTAGGTGACTTTACAGATCAGCAACAGCAAAAAGGGAACAGAGGACTTATATTTGCATTGTGATACACTCATGTCTTAAATTATAAGCCAAAATATTGTTGGTACAAATATCCCTGCTCACACAGCGAAAGGTTAACCAAAAGCCCATAAAATAAAATGATACAGATGAAGCTAAATAGTAATTCTAATCAAAAAACAAAAAGAATCACAATGAAAACTCCAGATCATTTGCACCCCCAACTAAGCACCCTTCCTGAATACTGTAGGAATCCCTACTCTGCATATGACATGTGAGAAGCTTTGCAATGGTGCCAAGTTTTTCCAGGACAGAATTCCTGGGAGAAAAAGGTATTAGAGACCACAGTAAACTCTAATATGGTTGTAGTTTTAGGTTATGAATAACATGTTTTAATAATCCTTAGTAATTCACTTCATACATTATTAATAAGTAACCCTCAGGCCTATGTAAGTATGAACAAGTATGAAGCAATAAGAACTAAAAAAAAAAAGGAGTTGCATTTCCCATGAGGAGGGATAGGGAAGGAACCATATTTTGAGAAGCACTTCATTAAGGGAACACAGGAGAGGAAACAATTTTTCAGAAGGTAGGGGGTAAGAAAAAAACTAACACTGATACATTAAACTATGAGGTAATAATATACTTGCTGAGTAAGGTATTTCAAACCTTCCATTTGAGGTGTATAGAACCCATGAAATTATGCCTGGAAACTGTAATTTCGAGCAATAAGAAAGCTATGTGCAAGGTTCTTTCCTTAACAAACTTAAGGAATGCATCAATTCCTTGCTATTTCAAATGTATTCTCAGTTTCAGAAGTTCAGCAACAAAGGGGAATATTCTCTAAGAGCCCACCGTTATTTACCTGATTTAGCCTTATACATTTATCTATAGTTACTGCTTTTATATATTTAACCAGCAACCACTCCCTTTTGGAAAGAACAGATTTGTATGTTTTTTCTAGTGATAGAGGTTGGCAAGAAAACTATTTCAAAAGCTGACTTATTGAATAGATAATCCAAAGGGAAAAGTATTATTTTGCACTTATAAAAGTTGTAAAAATCTCCTCCTAAAGTAGTGACCCAAGTTTTGGCATTTAGTACTTCCTGTCCATTCTGTTTTTCAATTTTCTAATCTGAATACCAGGGAAAAACTACCCAAATTCAATGGCAAATGCCTTGAGAATGCCAAAAGCTTGAAGAGAAGCTAAATCCATGGTTTACTATTCCCAAATAACTCTTCTGAAATAGATTACCGGTTCCATTGTTTCCCATTTGTGGTATATTGACTTTCCATTTACTTTTGCAATACTGTGACTATCACATCCTACTTTATAAGGATCCCACTACAAAATACAGAAAATTTCCAATTTCGGCCCGGCGTGGTGGCTCACGCCTGTAATCCTAGCACTCTGGGAGGCCGAGGCGGGCAGATTGTTTGAGCTCAGGAGTTCGAGACCAGCCTGAGCAAGAGCGAGACCCCGTCTCTACTAAAAATAGAAAGAAATTAATCGGACAACTAAAAATACATAGAAGAAATTAGCCAGGCATGGTGGCACATGCCTGTAGTCCCAGCTACTCGGGAGGCTGAGGCAGAAGGATCGCTTGAGCCCAGGAGTTTGAGGTTGCTGTGAGCTAGGATGACGCCGTGGCACTCACTCTAGCCAGGGCAACAGAGTAAGACTCTGTCTCAAAAAAAAAAAAAAAAGAAAGAAAATTTCCAATTTAAAGTAGTGTAACAGTAACCACCATTCTTAAGAATTCATAATATTTTCTCCAAACTATACAGATTATTAGAGTATCAAATAAAGTTGTATTTTAAAGGATGCAAAGGGATTTCCCACTTCATTATAACAAATTAGTTCATTATTAGGGAAAGTACATATAATTTTTGATAGACTGAATTAAGCTCATGAGTTGAAACAGACTGTTGTAAATGAACCTCAGGAACACACTTTTTTTGTTAAACTCTTACCACAACATAATTCAGATTTGTAGGTTTTTCTCCCTATTCACTACAGAATAACACACTATTATACAAAATGCTAAGTTTTTATTTCCCCTTGATACTTGCTAAACCAAAAGTTATTTTGCTGACAAAGCAAAAGAAGTCTGCATAGAGTATGCTGGAACGCTTCCTATAATCAACTTTAAAATAATCATTGAGTACAGAAACAATGAAAAGCTTGTAAAAAAAAAAAAAAAGCAAAAAGCAGGACACAGAAAGACATTAAGCAGTAGGTCAGGACAACAAGTATCCTGGGAAATCAGAGAGCTTACAAAAATCACCATGGTGATTTTTTTTAAAAAGACCCATGGAATATAAGACTAGAAAAAACAGGAAATTCAGACCATCTTAAAAAAAAAAAAAAAACTACTTCACAAATCACAAATAAATTACCTAATATTTGGAAAACCAGCCTAATAAATGCCACTAACCAAACATTAGTGGCACACATGGAAACAAGTATCTTACATTAATAATATCACAGAGGGATCTACAAAGCAAGATGTCATCCCAGGAAATGCAAACTGTACATAAGGTGGAAAATAGAAAGAACCACTGTGAAAGAGAAACTTAAAAGCAATCTCCAATGTGCCTCATATATAGTCTGGGGCTACCACAAGGCCTCATATTCATGGAGGAAAAAAGGCAGTCTCTTTACAAACCAAACTGAGGGAAGAAGCATGAAATTCACTCCCTGTAGACATCCAAAAGCCATGAATAGACATATTGGAAAAAGGGTGAGGAGGTTCACAATATTGAGATCAAATTGCTTGGAGGAAAATTTCAGCTGTCAGGGAAAAAAATTCCTGAAGGAAAAGATTATATTATAGTGCTAACTCTTGCCAGCACCATTGGAAGTTCAAAGCAAATTAAAACTCTAGGAGCAAAAACTGAAACCCTTCCACCCCCATCTAAGCAGGGTTTGAAATCATGGGTTTAGAGTATAATATGAGCTAAGAAGCTGCGAACCTTGAAGCTTGCAGTACAACATGGCTCCCAGCACTCCATAGGTGATAGACAACTGTAGTAATGCTAACCCTACCTCTACACACCACTTTACAGTTTAGAAAGTGCCTTCACTTTTATTCCTCAACAGCAACCCATTTGGTGGTAGAACCACAGCACCTAGCTGTCACACAGCTTGCAGTTTGTACTTTCATACGCTGCGTTGTTTTTTGTTTTTTTTTTACAGAAGAGACTCAAGGAGGTTAAGTCACCTCACTAAGCACAAACGGATGTTCGGTGAGGGCCCTGGAAAACTGCGGGACTCTACCCAGTCCATAACAGACACTTACAACCCTTAAAAGTTCAAGGTACAACACTCCAGGGAGCAACCTCACTCAGAGCCTATACAATATAGGACCTCAGAGTCTCGGCTGACCATCTCCGCCTTGGTCTCCCTCCTCAAAGACAGGGAAAGTGAGGCAGCAGGCAAGGACAAATGCCTAATTTAGAGTCACGCAGGGGGTGTTGTGCGATGGAGTCCCCCCACCCTACCCAGACATCAAGCCCAGAAGTAGCTGAATCCTGTGTCTGGGACACCTGGTTGGTCTCCGGAGAGAAGGAAAGGCTCTTGCCATTCCCGTTTCCCTCTCAGTAGTCCCCACCCGGACTTTCCTTCGGATGGGGGTGTCTTCCCATAATCACCCAGAAACTCCCTCTCCCCAAGATCCTTACCCACTTTTCAGCTCCGGCCTCCGTAGTAGGAGAATCCGCTAGCTCTGGCTCCCGCTTCTAGCCCCCCTCTCTCTCTCTCTCGACCACAGGGCGTTTCTAAATCTCACTGGAGGAGGTCTGCCTCGCACCCGTGCCACCTAAACCGCAAACTCCACAAAAGGAAGCGTTCTCCCATCTACCCTTTCTGCCCAGCCACCCCTGAGGAGCACCGCTCAATACCAGGAGCCTCCCCAGGAGATACCTGCCTCTCACCTGGGCCCCGTTAGCTGCAGCCTCCTCAGAAGGGCGACCCGTAAGAACCTCCTCTGGTGAAGAACCCCCCCAAGGGGGGAACACCCTCCTCCAGGAACCTCTTCAGACGCCCTAAGCGCGGGCCTAGGTGGAGAACCTCCTGGCTGTTTCCCAGGCTCTGCCCAACGCCACCCCTCTCCTGGGCCCTTTCTCGGAGCCTGCTCCGGCCCCAGTCCGGTCTGCCCGCCCCGGGATCAAGCGGCTGTTTCCCTCCCTCACAGTCGTCCCCAGCCCTCGGACTCCCTCCCGCTCCGCGTGCCCAAGGGGACTTCCCAGAGCAGTGTGGCCGGGCTGCGGCACTGACTTTCTCTAGCTCCTGGGCCCACCGGAGGGAGGGGGCGGCGGCGGCAGCACGACTCCTTTGTGACAGGTCCAAGAGAGCGGTAAAGATGGACGCGAGGCCACAGCGCTACCATTACGCGCAGGGCCCACCCCCGCTTCGTACCGCCCTGGCCCTCCTTCAGTCCCCTAGGAAACGCCCCTTCCTCGGTGGCAAGCCCTCCCACAAATAGCCAATCATCCATCAGGGATTGTGTCACGTGACCCTACGGCCCAGCCCGTCCCCCAGGCGTGAGCTGGCCAATCGTCTTGCCGAGGTGTGAATGGCCCAATCAAGTCTCCCCGGCTCCCTTTCCGGGCACCGGATTTCCATCGGGCTCCCGGGGAGGAAGAGACCTGCGGATTGGGTTTCGCCGCCGGAAGCGGGGCGGAACTTTGTTGTGGCGGTGAGGAAGAGGAAGCCCTAAAGGGTCAAAAGGAATACAAAAGCAAAGGCTGTTTTCTTTCTTTTTCTTCCCCCACCCTTCCTTTCCTTCTTTCTTTCTTTCTTTCTTTTTTTTTTTTTTTTTAAGAACGGTCGCCTTTGCGCTGGCGGTTTGGGGCGGGTGCCGCCGAGGTGAGGGAGTCTCGCCTCCCGCGCGCTGGTAGGTGAGTGAGGCCTGGGTCCTGGCCTGGCGGCGAAACCTGGGCTCCAGCTTCTTCGCTGAAGAGATGGGGAGCTGCGGCTGATGTTAGGGTTAGGGGACAGGCCTGAGCTTAGTCCATGCACGCACCCAGTGTCTTGAGTCGCCAGCGCCGGGGTCTTGCGGGGCCCAGCCTAAGGGGAGCCGAGGGAGTCCATGGGAAAGCATCTTGGTCGTGGGGAGAGAAGCTCTCCCGACCCTTTCAAGTGGGCCCAGAACTGCCAGGCCTCTGTCGGTTTTCTCCACTCTTCTGCCAGGTGGGACCACCCAGGCCTCAAGTGAGGAGCCGGCTCTGTTCTGGAGGTCTTGGAACAGCTCAGGTTACTCAGGAGATGTGGGAACTCCTGGTTGGAAATGGTTGAATCCCAGAATGTAAGTGCAGGCTAGAGAACACATTTATTGTGTGCCATGTACCAGTTGCTGTGCCAAGAGCATTTTCTTCTAATAGAAAACAAGCCAGCTGGCCCGTTTTGCAGAAAACTTAAGGAAGTAAGACCGAAACTGGAAGCGTCTTGTTTGAGAGTTGGTTGCCCTTGTGAAAGTCAGTGCACACAGAGGAAAAGGGGAGACCTATTTGTTCATAGCAGCGGTTCTTAAACGTCAGCGGAAAACCAGATTTCCTGGGTCCCTTTTAAAGTACAGTTTCTCGGACCCCCACCCTCACGTAGTCCACCTGGGTAGGTCAGGAGTGAGACCCAGGAAGCCAAGTGCTTGCTTGGTGACCAGAATTCCCAATGACCTCTTGGGGCCAACTGTGAGGTAAAATTTGTCCATTCTTAAGTTTGGTTTATTGATGTTTCCACAGGGACACCATAAAACGGTTTAGAGGGCACCCTTCTGAAATTCTTGAAAGGATGCAGTGTGCAGACTCCTTTTGGATGCAAGAAATTGAGCTGAGATAAAGGCAGCTTTTATAGTCTTTCAGATAGAATCTGAGATGAGCTGTTAACAATTTGTAAGAGTCTGAAAGTAGAGGCTTCCAGAATATCTTTCTCAACTGAAGTCTTAATGCCTTTCCCCTGTGGGGAAATTCTGTATTGTTGTAAGAAAGGACCGTTTAGCTGATTATCACTCTTCACTTTCACCTGCCGAGAATCTTGCTTTTTGGTTAGAGTCAAGCTGTTGTTTCAGAAATAGAAAACCACGTATCTGGTAAATGAAGTAATTTAAGTGTGCGGTTCAGCAGTAGTCCCAGTCGTAGTGTAATTATGCCTTTGTGGCAGCTAAATTAAGTAATTTCAATGTGTTCACTATTAGTCACCTTTTGAACATACTTCATCTTCATTCTTAAATATGATCTGTTTCACTCTTTATTATAGAAGGTGTTTTTAAGATTGGTCTTTGTCGTTGGTTTTCTGCATTTTCACTATGATGTATGCAATTTGGTATTTTTTAGACTTCTTGAATCTGTGGAGTAGTGTCTTTCATTAGTTCTGTAACCATTTTATATTCATATATTGCTTCTGCTACATTGGCTCTTTCCTCTTTACTGATTTAACATAAACCTTTTCACTGTAGTCTCTATGTCTCCTTACGCTCTGTTTTTCTATATTATGTTTTGGATAATTTCTTCGTTAATTGTCAGTTATTGCCAATCTCTTATTAAACTCATCCACTGAAATCTTAAATTTAGTTATTATATTTTTTAGTTCCTGAAGTTTGGTTTGTGCCATTGTTTTACAGTTTCTTATTCTCTGCTGTTAATTTTGAGGCTTGATTTTTATTTCTTTAAACATGGTAAGCATAGTTATTTTATAATCTCTATGTTTAATTCCACTTTCTGAGTTCCCATTGGATCTGTTTCTGTTGTTCATTATTCCTGCTGTTTTACTTCCCAGTTCACCATTACCTTGAAGGTGTAGTTCTTTGTGGTACCAGATTAAGATACAAAGGAAGAAGGAGGTGGTTCAGACTCCACACTGTGGATGGGCTCCTGGCTTTGACTTGTTTCTGTTGCCTCATAAAGGCACTAAACTGCAGCTTTTAGGTCGGAGAAATTGCTCAGTATGAAATCCACTTTGAATATTGGGCTTAATTTCTGGTTTTCACCTTCTCCTTTTGTCCAAATTCTTTACTATCATGTTAGCTTTAGTTTGTTGTTTAAGAATTATTTTTTAAAAAAATTTCCAGCTTCTTTAGCATAGTGGTGGAGGATTGATTGGTCTTAATTACCTAGCCCACTATTTCCAGAAATGAAAGGCTCCCCCTTTATTCTGATTTTTGGAATGTGAAATTTGTGTGACTTCTGGCACTCTTAAGTTAAAGATGATTTATCTTCCTATACCTAAAATTTCTACCACTTTTCGCAGCCTCTATCAAAATTAAGCTTCCCCGATGCTTTATTTTAGTCTTCCTTTTCTGAACTCCTTAGTGCTTAGCATCTACTTCTCTTACGGCATTTAACCTGCTTTTCCTTAAATTGCTCATGTGCCAACTATTAGGGTGGAAAGCTTAGTAGGTGCTTATGGCACGGGTGGAGAAAGATTTCTCAGGCAGAGATTAGGCTATATAAAAGTAAAACGTTTATTTTATCCTTTAGAAGGACAGAGAGAATGAGAGAGTGAAAGAGAGAGGGGAAATGGGGGGAAGAGAGCAGGGAGACGGCGTGGCCTCGCAAAGAAAGAAGGGGGTACCAGCAGTGAGGTGAAATGGCTTGTTGATTTTATGGGGACAAAGAGAAAGGAAAAAAAATAGTGATTATTGTCTGTTGAAACAGAATGAGCCGTGGAGTAATTAGCAGAGAGCTGTGAGGCGTCAGGTTGTCCATCTTTCTTGCTTTTTCTCTGCTGCTGGAGACTTGGTTATCTGTGAAATGTAGTCAGGCTTATTGCAGTGGATGTGATTTTGCCCCTAAGATGCGGTTTTGGGCAGGAAACCAAGGCCTGGAGTTAGCTCCCCTGCTGTCTGTCCTGGGGCTTCTCCAGAACACCTCAAGGCTATAGAAACATTCTAAAGGCCATGAGCTGGTGAATGTAAAGAGAAAGATTTACATTTCCTTCCTGTCTGTTGGGCTCCTTTCAGATGTTTGTGAAAACGGAACCCTGCTGGGTGCTTGCTGGGGAGAGCACAGAGTAGGGAGAGTTCATGATAGATCTTTAGGTATTAGGAAATTTCGGGATTAGATATTTTCCTGTTATTTCAGCAAGGCCACCCCTTTCACCAACCTTATCTCTTTTATTGAATGAATGCAAGTTCCTCACTTGCCTGTTTTGTACCTAGCACTGTGCCTTGCACACAATAGGTTCTCTGTAAAGATTTGCTTCCCAAAAACCCCCAAAACTGAATTAGCTGGCCTTGCATAGTTAGTGTAATGCAAAACTTTTCTTTAAAGAGATGTGAGTCTTGCTATGTTGCCCAGGCTAGCCTCGAACTCCTGGGCTCGAGCAATTCTCCGTCTCAGCCTCCTGAGTAGTTGGGATTACAGGCGCCCACCGGCACACCAGCTACCTTTTTTTATTCCTTCTTATTTTTTTTTTTTCACAGCAGAATGTAAAGGCTAATACTATATTTACTATTATTTTTTTAAATTTGCTTTTAGAGTGGAGTTACCTAAGGTTGAGGAGAGGGTGGATGGAGTATGATTTGGTGTGTGGGTTAGGTTCTAAAGCCAGCCCAGATGGCAAAATAGTGTATAATCAAAGCTACCCTTGAAAATCTCTTAGGGAGGCACCATTTTGGATGTAGGAATACAAGCATTGCAAAATTACAACATGGCCAGTGTGATATTGTGAAATATATATTTGGTCTTCTTTCAGGTCTCCTGGCATTCAACTACTAAAACCCTTGGAATCTCCAAAGTGCTAATTTGTCTTTCTGTATGCTAATGAGCAGATTGATGGCTGGCAGCCCCTTGGTAGCTTCAGGAGGGGGCTGGTCACTGGAAAGGTTCAGGCAGGATTTGAGGGTTGGGACTTTCAGTCCCCCCCGCCACAACCTCCAGGGAGAGGAGAGGAGCTGAAGGTTGAGTAGGTCACCAGTGGCCAATGATTTAATTGGCTGTGTCTAAGTAACGAAGCTTCCATAAAAACCCAAAAAGATTGGGTTTGGAGAGCTTCCGGGTAGGGGAACATGTAGAGGTTCCTGAAGGGTGGTGTGCCTGTAGACAGCCTGGAAGCTCCGTTCTCCTTCCCACACACCTTGCTCTATGCATCCCTTCATCTGTATACTTTATAATATCCTTCATAATAAACGGATAAACGTAAGTAAAACGTTTCTCTGAGTTCTGTGAGCCACTCTAGCAAATTAATGAAACCCAAAGAGAGAGTTTTGGGAACTTGGATTTTAGCTGGCTGGTCAGATGCCCAGGTGAAACAGCCTGCGGCTGTGATGGGTATTTAAAATGGGGGGCAATTTTGCGGAATTGAGCTCTCAACTTGTGGGATCTGGTGCTCTCACCTGGTCCATAGTGTCAGAATTGAATTGAATCAGCTGCAGAATTGATTGATTGCTTGGAACAACTCTCCCGCCCCACCTACCCCACAAGTCTTTTGTGTTCATTGTTGA